TAGGTTAATTTATCGTCTCCTGATTCTAGGGAAACAAAATATTTTCTATTGCGGACAGAAAAGAGCTTTTACTCCTGTTTTTATTGTTTCAATTGCGTTTCCAGAGTGTTAAAGACAATGAACGAATTGCCCAATTTCGATATATTAAAAGTCAGCCTAGCACAATAGGCCTCAGCACGAGGCTCTGGGGAATGACTACAGAGTTTGTGGGGTTTATTCCCCAGAGCCTCGTAATGAGGTCTATTGTTTTAGGCTGAATTTTAATATATCTAAACTGGTCTATTGTGGCCACAAATAGAAATATGTCAATAGCGCACCTGATGAAGTTGAAGAAAGTGTTATCATTAGTAACTACGAGTTAAGTTATACAGTCGAACGTCCGGTTGCGACCACCTCTCCTCAGCGACCAGTTTTCCAAAATACCATAAGTTTCCGAGTCAAATCACTATATTTGGAACCTCTTGTAGGCGACCACTTCTCGTAAGCGACCGTGACCACTTTTAGAGCTAAAAGTTTGAAATTTTCCTTTCTTTTTAACCTCCTGTAAGCGACCACTTGACAATTAATGGAGCGAAAAATGGATAATAAGGTATCGTAACATTATTGTATTTCTGGTTAGTACAAGAAAGGGAAATTTTTCAATGGGAAGAACCGAATTTTTTTCTCGAAATTGACTTTTACACGAATAAAACATTGCATCAGCATTGATGCATGGCTTAAGTCTCGGCAGTTATCATATTGTAATGAGGAAATTGACCGATTATGGTCTAAGCTCTCGTAAGCGACCACCTAGGCTTGACATAATGGGAGAAAACATACGGGAGGATAGACTGCATATAAAAAACGAAAGACAGTGTTTCATAGGGATTTCCAAACACCGAGAATAGAGTTGAAAATACGACGCGCAGCAGAGTATTTTTGACGAAATTAGAGGTGTTTGGATAGCTGATGAAATACTGTCTAAATGTTTGATATCTTCTGCATTAGTAATGAGTTTGAGAAGTTAAGATATTCCGGCGTATCTTCCCCTTGTTATTCATTAATTGCTCATTATTGCACAAGGTTGTGTTTACTTCTTTACTGCATGTTAGTAAGGTTGTTATAATGATTTATTAGTTTACCGTTATTGTTAATGGGATTGAACCAAGTGCTCAGTAATTAATTTAGCTTTAGCTCCTTCATCGATATAAGCAATGTCATTATTAGTGTGGCGTCAATAAAGTGATTGAAACAAAGAAAGAAAAAGTTTAGCTGTGTTTGTCAAGTTTTGGTGTGATTCCAAATAGGAATGAATCTATTCAAAGCCGGAAAAAAAAATATTAGTCTTAAGTTTGACCGCGCGACCGATTCCTCGCAGACAGAAAATATTTAAAGAGTAATAGCCATAACAGTCTCCATTTGCCTTCAAAAATATACTACTGACATAGATCATGCTCTGAATCTGTTCCTTCAAGTTCATTATTTTCCGCGGACTTCTCTCTCTGAAAACTCTCTGCTTGTTTCTTAGGACAGATAGACGTTATTGTTTATCTAGTCTGTATTTCACGGACACCTATAAAATAAAAAAAAGTATTTACCACGTTACCGAAACAACCCTTGGTATACTTCTCTGTATTTAATGGAAACTATGAAACAAGTTAGAGTAATCATTCCATTTAATCCCCTCCTTCCGTTCAACAAGCAGCAAGAGCTCCAAGACTTTTAAATGTATGCACTTCTTTCTACTGATATTTACGTTCAGAGCTAATGAATTACATTTAGGTCTGAAGAGTTAGAAAGAGCACATTTGTCAATCAATAAGTATTGAAGTACAGCAACTCTTCAAACGCTTGTATAATGCCGGCCCCTACCAACGTAGCAAACATACGTTGGCGACACCCTATAGTCTTTCAATGACTAAAAAAAGAACTTCTCTTCAAATTATCATTTGTTTGATATACCTTTTTATAACCCATTTCTTTAGTTACTTTATTAGCATACTAGTTTTTCGCTACTTTAAATTTGAGTGTTATGTCTTTTTAGTGATGGGATTGATTACCAGCCGTCAGACTGCAGAAATAAGGTGTACTTCAACTTTACTTAAAATTCAAATCGAGTCACAGGGGCTTAATTGAAGCATTAATGGTGTAGTACAAGTTCGTTATTATGTTTTCATATAACTTAGTATTAGTTAATGATTATATCCTAAAAGAAATAAACCCCTCCCATTTCCACCCCTATTATAACTTTCTACCACATATTTAGTACAATTGTATATGTTTAATTTCCTAGTTAGATAGTTCATCTTTCAATTACATTCATCTATCCCATGGTGGCTACCGAGCGTCCAGCACCCAATCTCTTGAGATTTATCACGGATCTGACCTGGGGTGACTGGACGATCATTTTGCGCTTAATTTGTTCCTGTTGTCTTGACGAGACTACAAAAACATAAATGTTAACAGTCAATTTCCCTTTATAAGATACACATACCTACATATTTGTGTGAGACATGTCTATA